GGCACCTCCGGAGAGATCCGCGGGGGTTAACGACGCCCCGAGACAGGATGCGTCGTCGCGACGCCGATCCCCTTTGACCCGATCCTCGTTGTCCCGCAACAACAGCAACAACGACCGAGAGCGACTTCCGGCAGGAATCGCGGGACGAGACCAGAAGCCGGGTCGGGTCGTTCCGAGGGGCACACGGAAAAATGTCGATGGCCGTGATTGCGAGAGCGTTGCTTTTCGCGCGGGTCTCGGTACGCTCGAGCGTGTTTGCCTTCGCGTGAAACATTCGATGATTCGCAAATATGACGGAACGAGTTTCCGCGTCGCGCGTCACGCATCGCGCGCGTCGCCTATCACGCACACCGCGCGTCGCCAACGAAAACGTCGAAAACTTTGGGAACCTGGTACGTAGCCAGGCCCGGCGACACGTATTGGTGAAAACACTCGGCAACGATTGTTATCCGGTCGATGTTTTTTCGGCATTAACCAGCTATATAGAAAACAAATGTTATTCCGGGACGACGACCAAACGGAACGGAAAGTCGATTTCTTCCGGCGCGGTGCGTCCGACGAATTTTCGATTGAAAATTCCGCGACACGTCTCGAGTGCGGTATCACTCGTAACGCTCGAAAAAATAAGCAACAGTTCGAACAAAAGATATTCGTCGAACCGGCAAGGACTGGTTAAAGGAAAATATTATTTTGTATAGTTACGTAATTAAAAGATGGCGACATGGTAGGATAGTAAAGGTCTTTCTCTGGTGCTGGTCGTTGCAGTTAACCCTTTGCACTCGAGTGGTGTCAGTGAGACGGCGCTAAAATTGTTATACAACGTTCTAACATGATTTTTATATTATTAAAGTTTAGATTTAAAGATATTGTCGAACCGACAAGGACTGGTTAAAGGAAAATATTATTTTGTATAGTTCCATAATTAAAAGATGGCGACATGGTAGGATAGTAAAGGTCTTCCCCTGGTGCTGGTCGTTACAGTTAACCCTTTGCACTCGAGTGGTGTCACTGAGACGCCGGTAAAATTGTTATATCACGTTCTAACAAGATTTTTATATTATTAAAGTTTAGATTTAAAGATATTTGTCGAACCGGAAAGAACTGGTTGAAGGAAAATATTATTTTGAATAAATAAATAAAGGTCTTTGCACTCGAGTGGTGTCACTGAGACACCGCTAAAATTGTTATATCACGTTCTAACATGATTTTTATATTATTAAAGCTTAGATTTAAAAGATTGTTAAGAACGTAACTGTTCTGTAAGTGACAAGACTCAATTTCGTATACATAAAATGTACTTTGTCACATAAAATAGAATGGCTATAAGTCGGAAAAATTATTTTAGATTTACAGTTAAAATGGCTTCGAGTGCAAAGGGTTAATATCAGATGTAAAGCAGATCATTACAATCTGGCTGAATCACTTACACGTTCAGGTGATCCTAAATGCGATTCTGCGAATACCAAGTACAGGTAGCTCTGAAACAATACGGCATCCTATAACACGATTTCGCTCTAACACGATAAGATAAATTGCGACAACCCTCGTATAGTACTGCAACCTGTAACATTGTTTCGCTCTAACACGATAAGAAAATTGCAAAAATCTTTGTACGGCATTGTACTTCTTCAGCACTGGATAACACGATTTTTGTTTAACATATTTCGAAACTAAGTTACCTTAAAATAACGACGGGAAGGAATGATGAACTATAGTGACTTTACGTGAAAATATAATTACTATAATTAAGGATATATAAATATACATACTTTTCCGCTGAATAAAGCCGAAAATTCAAAAGGGAGCTGCAAAATTGTCTTAGCTGCAAATTATCTTCGTACCATGAAATCTACGATGATCTTGTAAAAACCTGTAAACGAACAAAAATTATAGATTTTTTAAGGAGAGCGCAATAAATCTGAATGAAGAAGAAGATTCAGAAAGTGAAGGTGATATTGTCCAATCGAAAACACGTTCTCGTTTGATTGTACTGAGTAGTGAGTTGTAAGAAATTCATTAATTTAAGGTTACATTAAATGAAAATAATATTTTTCGTCTATTTTTCGTTTTGTGTTACACATACATTTATATTCTTAATAAAAGTTAAGTTGCTTATATGGAATTTAAAAAAGATGTTTATTTTTAATAAGTTTCTTGGTACGTACCCCCCCATCCTTCTTTTGTACTGACTCTGGGTCTCATATAACACGGTTCCACAAAACACAGCATTTTCTAAGGAAATTTTCGATTGTCAACAATTACAAAAACGAGCTACAAGGCTCAAATGAGCCGTTTATTTCGAAAGTGGCATAAGTCACTTTACCGTAATGAAAAAATAATGTTTATACGAAATTATTTATACCGAGAAAAATATCAGTATCCTGAGATAACAAATACAAGTAAATCTTCTCGAAAGTTAGCATCCATATTTTTAAACGTGTTAAAACGCAACCCTTAGATACATCGACTTAAAAACAAAGTGACTTATGCCACTTTCAAAATAAACGGCTCAAATAATCGTATCACCACTTCCGAAATTGTCCATGTTTGTTTTCAAGCGGAAGAAGAATTAGGGAGAATTTACTGTATTTTTCGTACACGTCATTTGTAACCACAAACGTATAGCTGAGATAAACGTCTAGCGTGGTTTCAAAATGCCATAAATAAAGTAAAGAAAAAGAGCGCCTCGCGATCGCTTCAAAAGTGGCCTCAACTTTCTCGGGGTTGGGCCGGAAGGGGACGTTGGTTCGGGAACACAGTTGCACGGAGACACGGAGCCACGGTCGCGAACAATATCGTCGATCGACACGATCCAGAAACTTCGTCTTCCTCGAATTCCACGGTTTTAGCTCCTGTTAGCTCGCGACGCGACGACGTCGAATTCTTCCGCCGTGTTGTTCTCGCGCGCAAAGCTTGTGTCCCGCGAGCCCCGCGAAATTTCTACCGTGACATTCCCCGGCTAATCATAATCCCCTTGCAATCTGTCAGCCCCCCGCGAGACTCCGGGACTGCAGCCGAATGCATCGCGTAAGCGTAAGGCGCCAAAATTCCGCGGTTCGTTTAGCCATTGTCGGATCGCTGCGCAAAATGGCTCCTGAACGAGTACCTACGTTAAGCGATTCATTATGTCCCGGCTTGGGTTAATGGCCCTCGAACAACGCCGCATCGCCGCGTTGGCGATCTTATATTTACACGCAAAGTTATCAATGGCATCGTCTCCGCGCCTTGTCAAATTACATGCACCTGTACGTCATAGGAGGACGTTTAATCAAATTTCATTTATTTCATTTATTTCATTTTCCTCTCGTTGCGAGTAAATTGGAAATATTTTTTATGCAACGAGATCCTTGCGACGACGGTAATACGGTGATACAAAAGGATGACAAGATTTAATTGACTAAAACGATTTTTCCTCATTCGTAGAGGAACATTTGCGACATTCTTCTGTTTTCCAACAACTTCTCTGCTTCATTGAAACGTTCCGCTCTTATTGCAGCAATATGCAGCATTTATTGCAGCATATTATATTACTTGTTATTTTATTTCTTATATTTTAACCTCCCTTATTCGTTACCGTTTTTTCTGTGTAACGAAGGGTTTTTCTTTGTTGACGTGAATAAATTATTATAATTATTACTATTATTCCATTTCGAACCTTATGACTTTGACGATGTACAGTCATTTTTCCCGGAAATGCCAAATTTTGACATTTGGCATATTTTGTGTCACGACGAGTATACTCGTCCTGCGCAAAATGTAACAACCATTGGTTATTTAAATTGTAATTTTAGTGAAAACAAAAACATGTTCTCAAATTTCAGGATGTTTAGAATATTTTTAGGCCAATCCTGCACGAAGGTGTTCAGATTGTTATAAAAATAAGATTATAAAAGAATCACGATGTTGGTGCTCGACGTGCAAAGTGCCATCATGTATCGTTCCTTGCTTTGCTGAATTTGTCCTGAATTTTTGCTGAACTTTCGCTAAATTTCTGCTGAATTTCTGAATTTTTAACTTTTATAAGTATTTGATTTTTCCTGCGTTTTTCGATTATTATATCATTTTCAATTATAATAATAATAATAATTATTATTAATTATTAATTTTCTAAAATAAAACTGTACTTTTGATCCAATATTTTAATAGCGACACTTATCCCGTGTTCGACGAGTATACTCGTCATCGCTTGATTCTCGCTTGATTCTCTAATGTCTCCCTAATTGACGCTCAGATTGCCCACAAAAATCGACAATTTGGGAAGAGGAGATACGCTTATTCGAGCCTCGCAGCTCGTGTTTATAGTTCTTGATTATATCTTGACCATAATCTTGCTCGATCAATCGTATCTCCTCCTCCGGAATTGTCCATTTTTGTGGACAATCCGAGCGTCAATTAGAGAGACATTACTCTACATAAATGACGACGCTTCGAAAGGGAGTCGCCCACCTAACACGTTAAAAATCGCGAACAAACACCGAATGCTTGTCACTAATTTATCCTTGGAACATCTCGACTCGTTTTCCCGGACTTTCGGTCGCGAAAGGAAACGTGCGCACGATCAAAGATCCCTAGCAATCGGCGCGGCTGGGCCCCGATCGTCGTCTCGTTGCGAGGCCAGTGCGCTAGGCTCTACCCTCGGAGCTTTATTTTCACGCGGATCATGGTTCCGGTGTACTATGGCGTTCCGCTCGGCGCCCGGGCCTCGGCGACGATCCGCATGCATCAAAGCTACATAATAAATTGAATATTATATGCAGCGACGAGGGACGCGCGGGGGGTCGCGCGGGGTCGCGAGGAAACGACGGGAAGGCGGCGGGCGGCGGAGGCGGAGGAGACGCGAAGGAGTCCAGGGGGCGAGAAAGAGAGAAAAGAGGGTGAGAGGACAGAGGAAAGAGGAAAGAAGAAGGGACACAGGAGGTCCTGGACCTGCGCCATGCGAGGCGAGCGTCCCGTCACGGAGCGTTCCGACGCTCGACTCGCTCGACGGCTAGCTCGACGCCGTCAGTACACGCGTCTCGACGCCCGGGGATGCGTCCGGTGCCGGAATTATAGCGGGACGCTCGTCGTACCGATCTCGGTCGCCCGCCGACTCGTACGGGTGCCGATAGTGTGCCGCGTCGTAAACCAAAACACAGGACACAGTAACACGTATGACGCGCCGTGTGCATTCGCGAGTATAATGCTACACATTTCTCACGAGGTAATTGTCCCGCGACGGGACACCGGCAGAGGGAAGATCGCAGAAAGCGGTTTGATCCGTTTGATCGAACCGTCCGCCGATCGGTCCTGGAATCGTCCTCGATCCCGCTTTGGTTTCTCCCAAAGGATTTCGCAGCAGTGTCCGCGTGGAGTTACCGCTCGTTTTTTTTCTGTCCTCGCCGCGCGTCGAGCCGCGCCGATTTTCCGGCGGGACGATATATCAGCGCGATATTTTCGGGCGGAATTCCCTGCCGAATTCCAAGTGAATTACGAGGGTGCCGTTCACCACCGGAGGCAACGATGGCTCCAAAAGGTTCCAGGAGCCGCCGAAGGCTCCCGGAGATTCGGCGATAGCCGCCTGAAAATCCGACGACCGATAATCCGCGTCGGCCAATTGAATTTTCGATATTCCGCGGAGTTATCCCCGAAAGGGTGGCCACTTTGCCCGCGAATCTACTCCTCGTCCTGGCGGCCGTTCGTCCTGCTGCTCCTGGTCGCGATCGAACGGCGCCCCCGTATTTTCAGGGTTCTTTGGGAACCGGGCAAAAAGGGACAAGGGACACCGGAATACGAGGGACGACGGACCCGTTCGCATATGACGCGTTTTTACCGCGCGACGGACATAGCTAATGGCCCCGCCGGTGACTTTGATAAATCCATCCCTCGAAGGTGATTCATTATGCGACCCGGTTCTCTCCGTGCGTATGAATTTTAATAACGGCCGCGCTGCGCGAAACATCGGTGGCCCTCGTCGCACGCGCGCGTCTTCGCAACGAGCGCATCGTATTGTCCGAAGGCGACGACAGTGTCCGTGCGAGATCGTTCATGGAACGAAGAATCGCGCGATTAACGACGCGGCCGCGGCCAACGTAGGATCCGCTAAGATTTCTGGAGATCGTCGAACAATTTGCCCGTTATTTCGACGATCGTCGCTTCGCGGAACGTTGAAGTAGATTAGATGACGATGATAACAGTAACAATTTGTCAACCGGTGAAAACTGTTTGTATATAGAGTGGTTACAAATCGTAGGTGATGGAAAGAACGTTTAGCTAAAAGGGCCTAGCCGATTAGGGTGGTGAAAATTGCCCTTACAGGTTTCTTGATGAGTATATTAAGGTTCGATAGCTGGCCAAGAAAAACTCGGTGCAAAATTTCCACCCTATCGGGTTATTATAACCGGTATAACCCGATAACTTGTTCGCGGAGGTAGTTACAGGGTTAAATAGACTGCGCGCATTTCCCTCCTCCGGTGGCTTTGTAAAATTTTGAAAAAAATGTGGCTCATTTTCGACATCGCACCGTATGTTATAGAATTCTTTCAGATTTTTCGGTTGCAAGCTGTGGTTATGAAAAATGGGAAACTGAGAAAAGATCGGAAAATTTAAGATTTCTCGAAAACCGGTATAATCCGGTATCTTGTCCGCAGGGGTAGTTACAGGGTTAAATAGACTCCGCTCATTTCCCTCCTCCGGTGACTTTTTAAAATTTTGAAAAGATGTGACTTATTTTCGACATCGAGCCGCATGTTATAGAATTCTTTCAGATTTTTCGGTTGCAAGCTGCGGTTATGAAAAATGGAAGACCGATGAAAGATCGGAAAATTGAAAATTTCTCGAAAACCGATATAATCCGGTAACTTGTCCGCGGGGGTAGTTACAGGGTAAAATAGACTGCGCGCATTTCTCTCTTCCAGTGGCTTCTCAAAATTTTGAAAAAAAATGTCTCATTTTCGATATCGAGTCGCATGTTACAGAATTTTCTCCGATTTTTCGGTTGCAAGCTGCGGTTATGAAAAGTGGAAGACCAAAAAGAGATCGGAAAATCGAAGATTCCTCGAAAACAAAAATATGGTTTTTTTTCAATATTAATCCTCCGATAAGGTACTGTCACAAGCAGTGCGCTGAATTTTTCTCAGAATGAATGGACACGATTACGTTATTCGTTTGCATTTCTGAAGATCCTATTCAGGCAGTTCGATCGACCGAGCGATGTTCCACGGCACAGAATCCACGGTGTTCCACTTGTAAAAGATAAATCGCGATAATCGCGGAAGCTGAACCGGTTCGTTTAAGAGTTGGAGGCCCCGCGGCACGCGGAATCTGGAACCGGAGATAACTAATTCCCGACGATTGTCCGAAGACGCTGTCAACGGTTATCTTTAAACCGGGTAGCACCGTAATCCCCGGTGTAACGTTCGTAATCGTCCGGCTCGGGTCGGCGAAGTTGTTTCGCAAAAACGGACGCTGGCTTTCGAGCCGGCATCGTAGATAATTAATCTGTTTCCCCGGAGGATGGCCGTGTATTTGCATAGGTACGCGTATGCAAATGGTAAGCGGGCCTCCTGTGCACCTCCCCCCTCCCCCCTCACCCGGCCGCCCCTGAAATTATTCTTCGGGACCGGCGCAGCGATCGCGTCATCCCTCCGAAAATCTTCCTGCGGGACTTTTTCGCGCGCATCCGGCCGGGATGAATTAATGTCGAATGTAAAACCGAGCCATTCGTTTTGCGCGACCATTTAAATAACTTTTCAATTGTCCCTTCGCCGTGCCGTCGCGCGTCCCGACGCGTCCTGCCGCCTAACCGTTGGCTGCACAAGAAATTATAAATTATTCTCGAGGCATCGGGGAAATTTCGCAACCGCCTGTGCTACCTTTCCGTTGAACTCGGAGCAACGACGGAGCGACGGCGTCGGCGGAATGGCGCGGCGGTGTAATCGGACGGACACGGGGGGGAAACAAAAGGGAGAGATGGATCGCGATACGCGGAAACGAGAAACAAATGTTTCGGCCGGCCGAGAAATTTCGCGAGAGCCGAATAGCATCGGAACGGGAAACGATCGGAGGGCCGTTTTGTTCCAGTTTCCCGGTCTCGTCCACGATCTCTCGGTCCCGATCTCGATACCCGGCGCGCGCGATGCGAGGCCCTGGTTGCTGCCAGTAATTAATGCCTGGCGAGCGGCGGCGGCGGCGGCTGGGGCTCTCGGACCGGAGAAGGTCCGGAAAAATTACGGGTTCGCATTTCCCTTGATTATCCGGGCGCTTCTCGGGAAACGGTATCAGTCGTTAAAATTCCCTGGCTCGCCGAGATTTAAGCCGCGCTTAACGCCGTCTCAGCGTAACGAGGGCAAAACGAGAAATTGCGATTTTTTTTGTCTTCCTTCGTTTTTTTGTTCGAGGATTAGTAAATCATCGGGAAGGGACACGTCCGCCGATCCACCAAATTCCTCCCCCTACCCCCGCGACGCGAGATCGACTTATTTCCAGTACAATGGCGAGCGGCCCGCGGGCACCCCGTGCTCTCCCCACTCCTCGCCTCTTCGCTCCTGTTCGGGTCGTTTCCTATTTTTTTCTCTTGTTTCCGTCCCTCGGCGAGGCTTTTAAATCGGTCATAACGTTTGCGCGATTCTTTCCCGAAGAGACAATGTTTGCGAGCAAACAGTTGATCGCGGTAAACACGCGGAGAAGGGTCGGAAATGGAATCTCGGTTCGAAAAGTGAAATCCCTCTCGGCCGGATCCTTCCATTACCAATCTGCCATCTCCCGCCCCTACTCCTACCCCCTCCCCCCTCCGCCGCCCCGAAGAACAGCCGAACGACAAGAACGAAAATCCGATTTCCCCGTGTCGCTTCGCGGCCCGCAGCCGACTAATCGACGAATCGACCAATAGACGGACGAGCATAAACACGCCGAGCGTCCCGTGAATATGCAAACATACCGTGGCAACTCTGGTTCCTCTTTTATCCGTACGAATCCACCGTTCGAAAATCGTATTATTACGGCAAGCATTTCCTTATCGTAAACACCATTAGCTCGAAGTGCCTCCCGAGTGTCGCGATATCGGCGCGATCATTTTTGTTCTACCAGCGAACCGGGCACACCGCCGCAATAATTGCTTCGCACCTTGCCACGGTTATCGGTAGACCGCGGATCTTTATGCGAAATACAACATTTGTGCATCGGTTGCGAGGAACGGGAACCGCATGAACGTCTATACTCGGTCTTGTGCGATTTTAATGAGTTATAGATAGACCCCGCGGATCTTTATGCGAAATACAAAATTTGTGCACCGGTTGCGAGAAACGGGAACTGTACAAACGTCTATACTCGGTCTTGTGCAATTTTAATGAGCTATAAATAGACCGCGGATTTTATGCATTCATTACAGAAATATAAGAAATATAAGAAATATAGGAAATATAGGAAATATAGGAAATATAAGAAATATAAGAAATATAAGAAATATAGGAAATATAGGAAATATAGGAAATATAAGAAATATAAGAAATATAAGAAATATAGGAAATATAGGAAATATAAGAAATATAAGAAATATAAGAAATATAGGAAATATAGGAAATATAAGAAATATAAGAAATATAAGAAATATAGGAAATATAGGAAATATAAGAAATATAAGAAATATAAGAAATATAGGAAATATAGGAAATATAAGAAATATAAGAAATATAAGAAATATAGGAAATATAGGAAATATAAGAAATATAAGAAATATAAGAAATATAGGAAATATAGGAAATATAAGAAATATAAGAAATATAAGAAATATAGGAAATATAGGAAATATAAGAAATATAAGAAATATAAGAAATATAGGAAATATAGGAAATATAAGAAATATAAGAAATATAAGAAATATAGGAAATATAGGAAATATAAGAAATATAAGAAATATAAGAAATATAGGAAATATAGGAAATATAAGAAATATAAGAAATATAAGAAATATAGGAAATATAGGAAATATAAGAAATATAAGAAATATAAGAAATATAGGAAATATAGGAAATATAAGAAATATAAGAAATATAAGAAATATAGGAAATATAGGAAATATAAGAAATATAAGAAATATAAGAAATATAGGAAATATAGGAAATATAAGAAATATAAGAAATATAAGAAATATAGGAAATATAGGAAATATAAGAAATATAAGAAATATAAGAAATATAGGAAATATAGGAAATATAAGAAATATAAGAAATATAAGAAATATAGGAAATATAGGAAATATAAGAAATATAAGAAATATAAGAAATATAGGAAATATAGGAAATATAAGAAATATAAGAAATATAAGAAATATAGGAAATATAGGAAATATAAGAAATATAAGAAATATAAGAAATATAGGAAATATAGGAAATATAAGAAATATAAGAAATATAAGAAATATAGGAAATATAGGAAATATAGGAAATATAAGAAATATAAGAAATATAAGAAATATAGGAAATATAGGAAATATAAGAAATATAAGAAATATAAGAAATATAGGAAATATAGGAAATATAAGAAATATAAGAAATATAAGAAATATAGGAAATATAGGAAATATAAGAAATATAAGAAATATAAGAAATATAGGAAATATAGGAAATATAAGAAATATAAGAAATATAAGAAATATAGGAAATATAGGAAATATAAGAAATATAAGAAATATAAGAAATATAGGAAATATAGGAAATATAAGAAATATAAGAAATATAAGAAATATAGGAAATATAGGAAATATAAGAAATATAAGAAATATAAGAAATATAGGAAATATAGGAAATATAAGAAATATAAGAAATATAAGAAATATAGGAAATATAGGAAATATAAGAAATATAAGAAATATAAGAAATATAGGAAATATAGGAAATATAAGAAATATAAGAAATATAAGAAATATAAGAAATATAGGAAATATAGGAAATATAAGAAATATAAGAAATATAAGAAATATAAATATATGAAGTATAAGAAATATAAATATATGAAGTATAAGAAATATAAATATATGAAATATAAATGTATGAAATATAAGATTACAAAAACATAAGAATAATTGAACAATATTCGAACACTATTTTCAACTTGTCGAAGTCACTGAAAGAGAAACAATTTATATTTATTTAATTTTTGTTTCTTACGATCCACTTGGAACATTTTTATTTTCCACAAAGATCCGCGGTCCGGTTACAAATAACGTGGTGAAATCGTTGAATTTGTCTAACAGCGCGAACGTTTCGTGTTTCATCTATCGATTTCTGGCATAAATGCATAAAATCCGCAATCTGGTTATCAGTTCTTCCGGTTCTCGTTTTCGTTTCATCTCGTCTCGGGCACGCATCGAGTGTCATAGCATTTTAAAACAAGAAAACGGTTTCAACAGGAATTTTAGAAACGTTATTATTATTCATTCATTAACGGGCATCTTGCCCATTACGCGCCCATTGGCCTATTAATTACGTGCCCGTTAACAGTAGTGGTACAGCGAGGTGCGGGGGAACACGTGTGTACATTAAACAATGCGTTCGGTGAAAGGACGTCCTAATTCTATTCAACGGAACAAGATTTACATTGATGAGACGTCATTCCGCAGTCGGTGTTCGAAAGATCGCAGCGAACCGAAGGCAAAGTCGACATGTTCGTCAAGGCAGTTAGAGTCTGTGATGGCACAGTTTATCGGATTATACGGATTATAATTAGTTCTGCACACGGTCTTGGTCTGAGTTCGCGTAAAGGAGCACGGAAATGTATTTGTCTAAGAAGAGTCAATACACTTGTTAACCCTTTGCACTCGACTGATGACTCCGACTCACCGCTTAAAATCGTTGGACGACGTTTCGAAATCATTTCGACCTCGTCAAATTTGTTTATGTTTGAAACATCGTCGAAAGTGTAATCGTTGCACGAATCACGATATTTAATTTCATGTATGTACAGTGCACTTGAGTCGTACAAAATGGAAATACTGAAAGTCAGGAAAAGTATTTTCAATTCAGAGTTAAAATGGCCGCAACTCGTCGACTCTAACGTTTGTGAGTTCGTCTCCGAAGCGCAGAAGAATAATCGCGATCATTAAAAGCCATTAGTCGACCAAGCTTATGTGCACAGAACCGGACAAATATTAACATCATCCCCGCAAACAGTTGGATTTATTTTTCACCTCGGCGTGTTCCGAGCGTCGGGTGCATCGTCTTCTCGACTTCTGCCGTTATCCGATAACATGTCATCTATTGCTCGTTATCGTAAGGGCTTCTTCTCGCAAATGAATGAATATCAAATATCAAACGTTATCGAATATAGGGTAGTGGAGCCGGTTTCTGTTCGATGACCAATTTCTGTGCCTTTGGTTTGCTTCCGGGCTTCGGTTCTTATCGAGTAAGACATCTTAAATTTTGTTATACTTTCATCTTGTTTATTTTTTAACAAACAAAAACTGTAATACTTGCTTTCCTATGAATATAAAGTTTATCAAAGTGACTCGCATAGTACTTTTCGGAAAAGTGTGGAATTACCAATTAATTTAATACACACTTAGAAGTGAGATATCGAGTTCTGATAAAGGACACGATGTTACAGAATGTTCAAATTGTGATCTCAAATTTTTGGGTCCGAATATTATTGCTAGTTTTCGAGTGACAGTTGTTTGAAAATTGACGGATTGTATGACATACGTGCTTCGTGTAGAAAATGTGACAGCGGAGGGTTAATTAATTTAATAATATTAATTTAAATATTAATAATATTAATATTATAATATATACTATATTATATTATATATATATATTTATTATATATATATATATATATATATATATTAATATATACTATATTATATATATATAATACATAATTATATTAATATTAATAATATTAATTTAAATATTTTGTGCGATTGTGATAACAAAATGGACGGGTCAAACGTAAAGATTAAAAGCGACTAAGAATGTTCACCTATTAATTCCAACTTATTAAAATAATTTAAGGGAGGAAGAACATTGTACTTGGCTTCACTGTCTCGCAATCCAGGCGGACAATTTTTATTACTCGTAAAGATCCGCATTCTAATTATGCTCGAAAACAGAAAAAAAACTCCAAAGGAACAGCAAATGTTCGCTGCACAGTAACCGGTTCCATCGTTCTATTCGCATGTGGAAAATCGTCGCGAAATCGGCCAGCCCGGTGCCCGCCGGCGTCGCCGGTCCAGCATTTCGCCGAGCAGAACATCCGGTTGGCATCGGTGGGGGATGCGTAGATCCCGTCAGAATCGAAAGGGTCGAGCTCGTTTCTCGCGTCATTACATTATCCTCTCGGGTTCGCGTCGGTCGACGAAGCTTCGCCGAAAGAATTTTAATCATCCCGTTTCGATTCCGATTTCCCGCGTCCCCCGTCCGCGGTGGTCCGGATCCAGATATTTCTTCCGGTTCGATTCCGTTCCGGCCGGCGCGGCGTCTTTCAGTCCCGGGAGAAGAGGAAAAGAGAGGTGGAGAACAGAAGAGGAGAAGAAAAGATCCCTCGGTCGGCCTCTCGTTCGACGGCGCCATCGATCACGCGTCACCGAGATAAGACAAAGAGCTTATAATCCGAGATCTCGCCGAGGGAAAAGAAAGAGATTTCCCGATGTCCCGGGCATGCGGGCCTGGGTACGCGCGCACGCGTGCACAGACGGAAACAGGGACGAATTGTAGAATCACAGAACAGCTTGACGGAATCAACCGTCGAACTACGGGGTGTCCCAAAATTATTGTACAAGCGAGAAGTAAGGGATTCCCGAGATCATTTCAAGCAACTTTCTCCTTTGCGAGAATGCAATCCGCGGCTCCGTTTACGAGTTATTAGCGAAAAACTCTGACCAATAAGAAGCGAGCTCGCGTAGCGCTAGGCGGCCGAGCCAATCAGCGGAACTGGGACTTCGAGCGCTCATTGGCTCGGCCGCCTAGCGCGAGGCGAGCTCGCCACTCATCGGCGGAACTGGGCTCCGAGCACTCATTGGCTCGACGGCCCCGCGCCACCCGAGCTCGTCTCTCATTGGTCACCGTTTCTCGCTAATAACTCGCGAACGAAGCCGCGGATCGCATTTTCACAATGGAGAAAGTTACTTGACATAACCTCGGGAATCCTTCATTTCCCGCTTGTACAATAATTTTGGTACAGCCTGTGGAAAGCCGTGCCGACGAATCACCGCGAACGGCGGCGCCGTTTTTACAAGCATCGTTAGCACGTGTACGATCTTTCCATCCTCACCGGGCTGAAACTCCGAAAACTACTGCGTTCCGGAGGGACACGCCGCGGCTAGCCGGGACAAAGAGCCGCGGAACTTTCATTTAGTCCTGTCGTAAATAAGAAGGAACAGTTGGTCCGCGTTACGCGCGTATAAGTGCGCGGAGCCGCGTCCGACGCCGCTAAATTCTCTCTCTCTCCCTCTCTCCCTTCCTCCTTGCGGAAATCTCTGCTCCTAAATGGCCGAGATAGTTATTTACGAGGAACGGCGTACAGGATAATTGTCCCGCGTCTCCTTGGACAGAGTAGTTGTCGGTGCGGCGAAGCGGGCGGCGGCGGCGGCGACGGCGGTGACGGCGTAGGAGGGGGGGTAGGAGGAGTTCGTACTTTCGTACACGTTTCCCGTAGCACTCGACCCGGCCGCGCGCGGACGGCGGGCACGTACATTACGCGAAATTGCGCGAACTTGGAGCAGTCGGTTGTAGATACGTCGCTTGACAAACGTATCGATTGAGAACGGGGAAGCGGGACGAAAGAAATAATAAAAAAGACGAGCGGCTGGTACGCGCGGGCGAGGGCGACGCCGATGGCGAGGGTGAGGGAATCGCAGGCGCGGGGGAGGGGGAACAGGGAAGAAACAACCAGAAAAGAGAGTTCGGCGAATGCTTGGTGGGAGACGGAGGGGGAACGGGGGGGGCTGCCGGGTGTATCGGTGTATGGGTTCGGTTGAAACCAGCGGGAAAGAGGATAGAGGCGGCGGGGGGGAAAGGGGGAGTCGTTATTATTGTTCAGTTATTTCTTTTTCTTCCACTTTCAGAATGAGGGTGGCACGGCTATTACTGTGCTACGTACTTCTCGAAGACTACAGTACCAATCTCGGCGGGGCTGCAATTACCAGCGACGCCGTGCGCCAGGACGCCTCTGCGACGAATCCCACGCTGGCAGGTACATATACCTCTACGCGTCTATACCTACATATATCTCTCTTCTGTCTCTACGTCTATATATCTGTTACGTTCTATGTCCTATGCGGCCGTGTCCCACGTCTGCTGCGCCCATGTGCGCGCCCCGTTTACATAACGTGTGCCCGCACACGGGAGCGTGTATCGCGAAACGCATTGTTCCCTCTCGAAAACGCGTGCGAGAGGCATGCTGCCGCGAGCCGAACGAACGGCACTCGACGCGCGATGTCTCGCGGACTCGTCGCGACCATCGCGCGGAACACGGTGCCGTCCTCGAGACGCAGGAACATGGCTCGTCGAACTCCTCCTCCTTCCCCTCTGCAACCAGGTATAGGGTGGTAGCGCTCGTAACTATTCGAACGGTTCGACGTGTTTCGAAAATTTACGATTTATTGGTAGCAGCCGATTTGTATTGCTTACGTTTGTTTTTTATTGTGCAGTAAATTCTACCCGATTGTCCTTCAGCTTGTAAATAAAAATGGACGATTTCGGAGGGGGGGGGGAGGAATGCGATTATTCGAGCCTCGCGGCTCGTTTTCACAGTTGCCGATTGTGTCAACAATCGTATAAACGAGACTAATCGTAACTCCGCTTTACAAATTGTCGATTTTTGTTTGCGAGCTGGAGGACTGTTGGGGAAAATTTGCTGTAATTACGTTCTGAAATTGGATACTACGGCGGCCGGGAAAAGACGGTAGAAATTTTTGAAAATTGGACTATAGATGGCTTGAACTTTTTTGTTAGATGACAGAAGGACTAATCTATTAGGCAATGATTATAATACTTTTTTCAAATTTTGCTATCGCGTGTTTTTAATTGTTCACAGCTTACGTCAAGGTCAACCGAGCTTACAAAATGTATTCTTTTACGTTTCGTTATAGGCTCGGATAAAAAGATCGAAAAATATTAGTTTCCTTTTATTTAGTTTTCTGTCATTCCAAGTAATAGCAAAATTGAAAAAGAGTATTATAGTCATTGCCTAATAGCCTAGTCCTTCTATCATTTAAAAAGGACTCAAGTCATTCAGTCCAATTTTAAAAAAGTTATACCGTTTTCCAAGCGTCCTTAAGTATATGACCACTGCCAGTGTTCATGATTATTACAATAAAATCATTTTGTGCATTATTTAAGAATTCATACTCGTCTAAATGGCTCTCCCCGATATCTCAAAAATACAAACAAGCATTATTGAAATTAGTTCAGCGGATGCCGAGAATATATTTACATATATAACCGTGCAAACGGAATAAAAAAAATCAAACGAGTCATTAAAATTATCAACGTCGACGAACGTACGATTCAAGCAGCTAAATCCTAAAAAGGAACATGATTTATCATCCATCCGTACAACATCGCCGTCGTCGCGTATCATAGCTGCGTACTTACGGGACCGCGACTTGCACGATCCGAGTGTGCGCACGTGTACACAAAGATCCGGAGGACCGTGACATACACTCGGCAGCGATACGTTGGCAAAGATACTAAACGGATGTCTGCGCGGCTGAAAAGGCTTGAGCCCGCGTTTACGGGCCGCGCGGTTTCGTCGTCGCGGGTCGCGCGGGGGTCGTGGCCCGTGTTAAGATGTCTAGATCCATTACGAAGTACACCGCGTCCGCGTGTAATCGCGAACCGCCCTGCGGTAGTCCGTTATCCAATTCCGGACTGTTGCGTTCTCCGGCTAATGAGTAATCAACGGAACGTCGCGTTCCGCGAGTAAATTACGAGGGTGAGCGACGAGCGCGTCGAGCGCGACGAGCGTCGGGTGCCGCGAGACGACTAGGAACCGCCGATTTTGCGCGGTTTCCATTCGCCGCAATCGACGCGAACGGCTGCCGAAGTCGGTTCCCGACTTTCTTGTCGCCGCGTCGGGATTCTCGAGGAACGGCCGTCGAATGAATTTCGTTTCGCGTGCAAGGGCTGTCGCGCGCCAGGGACGCCGTTCGAGCCGGCGAAACTTTAGATTAAACCCGGAGCCGCGCGTCGCGGTGCATCGCGCCGCGCGACTGCGATTGCGATTGCGATTGCGATTGCGATTGCGATTGCGATTTCGCATACTCGCGTTCCCGCGGGGAGCTCGGAAAGTGATTTGCGCGAGATTCGCGATCGAGCTACGACCGGCAATTACCGGCGAGCACCGGGCGAATCAGTTTCCACGGCAAATGGAACGGCGTCGCGGCGTATTCCATTTCGCTTTTCGGGACGGGCCGGGCCGGGACGGGTCCCGGACTCTGGATCTATAAATCGACGCCGCCCCGACGGCGGTGCCGACGCGGAGCGTAGCAAAGCGGTGAGAAAAAGCTGCGAAATAAGGAACCGGGACAAAGTGGTTACCGGTGTAACGTTCTCCTCGTGCTCGGTCTCTCTCTCTCTCTCCTTCTTTCTTTCCCCTCGCCGTTCCCCAGCCGTGAATCCGAAAGCCGTCTCTGAAATAGTGCTAAGGCGGAGCCGTCTTTATCGGCAAACTTTTCCCGTGAACATTGTCGGGAGGAAGCCGCGTTTACACCGATTCTCGGGTATCTCGCGAAGATCAGAGTTCCCTGGAGCGAGGCGGCGCGCGGCGCGCGGCGTGCGGCGCGGTGCGGTGCGGCGCGGCCGAACAAATGTTCGATACGATGTATCAAGAAATAAAGGAACAACACCCCCGAGACAAATTGCTGCGACCGTAGCGTCCGTTGCAACGGCGGCAGCGTTTTCGCATCGGATCCTCGCGGAAGCTCCCGCACGCTCTTCCTCTTCTTCTTCTTCTTCTTCGTATCTTCGGAGAAGGAATTCCTTTCGGTCGATCGACTCCCGGGGGCCGCGGTGCGTCGATCGCGCGGGGACGAGCCTATTTATCGGCGATTATGCCGATAGAGCGCAGGCCTTTTTTCCACGGTAAAAATCGCGACATGCTCCGCGGGTTGAATGAACGCGCCTCGCAGGTGGCCAGGTGGGCGGACGGTCAGGTGGTTGGATGGGCAACGGGGGTGGTAGGCAGGCAGGCAGGCAGGCAGGCAAGCAAAAGCACGCGGAGGCCGAGGAAAATGCGACGCGATGTAATCGATGCCGTGCCGTGCCGTCGCCGACGCTGATGAAAACTACGATCGGGTTACTCGAGCGAGCAATGTCCGCGCGAAGTCGCCGCGGTAATTAAACTCTTTGTCAGGATCGGTCCGGCGCGGCGACACCGCCACGGGAAACCGATGCGGCAAATAAAAGAGGCGAACAAAATAGAAGGAAAATCTAGGCTAGCCGGCTGGTCGACGGAGCATGGTGCAAAAATGATCGCGAGCGAGCGCGCGCGCCCGCGCTCGTTCTACCCCTGCTTATCCCGGGGTAATGCGCTCTCTCCTCACCCCTTTGCTCTCTCACCCCTCGACGGTTCGCTACGCGGATCGCGGCCGGGCAACAGGGTCCCCGGATTTCGGCATTTAGCCGCGATTAGTTATCATCGACGCGCACGCAATGCCGAACCCGCGAGATCGTTTGCACGGGCGTTCATTGTCATTGTCGTCCGAGCGCTCTCGTTTAAAATGCGATTCTATCTTGGCGTCATTATTTCCGCTGTTATTTCTTTCCCGTTCGCGCGGCTCCGAAAACGTTCGTTCGCGTGTTCCGTTGGTGTGCGGAGAATTGAGGTATTGCTGTCTGAAGTACATTAATTGTACTTATGGTGAATCTGACCATCATAGTGACCTTACAACTTTAAGTGACCTTACGACTTAATTAAGTACTGTAAATTACGACCTAATTAAATAGTGTACCTGTATCGCACTTCTTAAAACGTTTCAATTATATGTCGATGTCTTTCGTATAGGTATGAATTTTTGCTATGATTGAAATATAATAAAGAACACACACACACACACACACACGCGCGCGCGCGCGCGCGAAATAATTGACAGAATGGTCGAAACAGTCTTCGAGCGAGTTGCTGTGACCTTAAACAGATGAAAAGTTAATTTCTATGTGTACTGAGCCGCTTTTAATTATTCTGTGTCAGTTACTGTTCCTTGATCTAGTTACTGTGTGTTCGTTTCTAGACACTGATCTAATTAACACTTTGCACTCGAGTGGCGACTCTGAAGCGTCATTAAAAATTGCTGTACTATTTTTCTAAATAATTGTAACAGTATCAGATTCGTTTATATTTTTTAAAAAACTGTTAAAATTTAATTCTAATTGCCAACAGGCTCAAATCGTACTAAATCATATAAAATGGAAATATACTGTAGATCAGAAAACATGTTTTGGATTTCGAATTAAAATAGCTTCGACTGCAAAGGATTAAGGTGCTCCAATTATTGCGATCGTTTTTTTATATTTTGATCACCTTTATTTACAATCAAAATAAACACACATAAAATCTCACATCAGAAATTTAAGAAATTTAAAAGTTAAAGTCTTAATTCGGCTATGAAAACTTCAGATCAAAAATTATATTTAAAAACTTCAATATCATTGCTTTAATAATGTTATTTTCAAATACAAGTAAAATTTTCGATTAAAAATACATTCGTTAAAAGCGGATACACGACGGAAAACTAAGATACGCTTAGATATGCGTTCTTTTACAATCTACTGGAGGACACAGGGACGAAAAAATTCGGCTCTTTCATAAACGAAGGCAAACCTAAAAGTATGTAGATTCACAGATTTGAAAACCGCCTCCCGAATGGCTCGTATGCAGATCATCAGTGTGCACGTTATTCTACATTTCGCGAGCTCGCATGCAACGCAAATACCTAAACGATCCGCTAGTCTATTAATGACACACTGCGCGCCTAGCAATCATGGGCAAAAAATAAATGCCAATTCCTGGAGGCCGACTTTCGAAAACTCGGCAGCCTCGAGAGCGGATTAAAATAGGATCGAAGCTAGCGTGTCCGATCGAGAGAGCAGATACTTGTAACCTGAATTATTATTTATCTCCTGTTCGTTCCGAATACGAAGCGTTTGAGAGAGAAACTGAAACCGTAGCTAACGGTGTTCCGAGACGATCTA